GAAAAATAATTAACTTAATCAGATATGTAATTTAAATAATCATAAAAATTTTAAAGTTGGACTTTCTTTTCCTCATAAATTTAACTTCAACCCACGAATGAAGAGGATTTATTGTTAGAAGAGGTTTTTATTCAAATGAAGAGTTAGGTGGAGAGTCAAGGGGCTACAATAAAGAAAATAGAAAACCAACTTGGGTAGATTATTAACTCACTTAACTATCATCCTCTGAATATTTTACCTAGTGACCCTGAGATAAACCTTAAGGAGAAGAATGGTAAGCAAGATAAAAGCAAGATGAAGAATGGTAAGCAAGATAAAGCTATCTAACTAAAAAGTGGAAGAGAATTGGAGGATATGGTTCAAAAGAACCTTGAGTTGAAGAGGATATGGTTCAAAAAAACCTTGAGTTGAGAAAAGAGAAAAAGAGATTGAAAGACCAATGAAAGAAATTCTTAAGGAATTAGAAAAACCTATTTAATCAACCAAGATAATTATAGAAAGACCACCTCCATCATTTCCTTAGCCCTAAGGGGAAGAATTAGAAGATAACTCAAGATAAAAGAGTAACCTAGTAGAATTTGATCCATAATCTGAATCATCTAGAGAGAATTCAATCCAAAATTTAGAAGATCTTGAATTATTATATAGAGATTCATTTCTTATAAATTTTAAAGATCATATTAGTATATAAATTGAGAAAATTATTAGAAGAATATTGGATCTAGAAAGAAACATGAGGAATAATATTATGAATCAATCTGAAAAGGAAAAAGTTGAAAGAAAAACTAAAATTTGAGGATTTAGTAGGAATCCCAGGATCTAAAAAAGATTGGGTGATTAATCAGTGATTACTTAAAAGAAATTTTAATCTGGAAGGAATCCTTTGTCGGGCTGGTGACGTTAAACCAAACGTTTTGTGAGAGGCACCCTATGATTATCTTTATTGGTGTGATTGTTTGTGAGTTGTGATTGTTGTCAGGTTGATGACGTTAAACTAAGCGCTTTGTCTCATAGTTATCAGTGTGAATTGATTTAGATTGTTTGTTGTGTGATGTTTTTAAAGATGTGTGTTATGTTAATGTATTGTGTGATAATGAGACCTACATGATGAGAAGAAGCACAAAACACTAATTTTAATGGTTAAGATGAGGTTGTGACATGTTAATTGGACCTAAGGCAAAGCCTTGATACTACGTATCCATGATATAAATATTTAAGCAAAATCAATGGGTTGGAGAAAGTAAGAACATTAAATTTTATGAATATCTTCAATATCAAACTTTTACTCATTTCCAACCCATGGATGAGGATGACATAGAATATGAAGTAGTTGAAGAAGAAGAAGATGATGATGAGAGTGAGTAGGCATTTTTTCTTATGTGGGGAACTCTGGTGTGTAGGTATCTTAGTGTTTGTTTTTTGCTTTTGTTGGATTGATATATGTGTGTTGTAGGTGTGATGAAATGATCATGTAGAAAACTATGTTTGTATTTTTTTTTATGAATTGAATGTTAGTGTTGTTTGTGTTAGACAAACTTATCTTTATATTCATGCCTTATTTATTATATAACAAGTCCCTGTATTTAATTACAAACCTAAAAAATATACACGTTTACTTTTATACTATGTACTTATACTAAAGTTTATGCTTCCTTTTTAGTTCAGTTTGATTTTTAGCATGTCTTCATCAATTTTATTTTTTCTTCCTGCCATATTTATCGGTACTGATTGTAAAATATTTAAATGTTCAAGTTTGGGGGAGGAATAAAAATAAATTTCAAAGCTAAACTTTATTTATCCTTAAAGAAACTACAAATAAAATGCTATTTGAAAAATGATCTTTATTATGTGGAGTTATCAAAATATTACAAAAATTTTAATTGTAGAAATGCAATAGGAAAACTTAGTAGAAACTTTAGTAAAAAGGATGAAACAAAAGTTAAGTTAATTAGTAGAAAAAAGTAGGAAAATGATTTTACAACTTATTATAGGAAAAATTGATTTTTTGAAAAATTAAGAATTTTTAGAATAATACTTTTTGAAAAATTTAGACTCTATTAAAATTCTTATTTAAAAACTAATATTAGATTTTAAGTTAAGGATAAAAAATAAGTATTTAACTTTAGAAAATGGATAGTAAAATTTAAAATCATTAAAGACCTACCCAGATATAGTAATACTCACCTAAAAAAAAGTAATAAAAATAAAAAAATTGGAGGATTAGGACCTAACTGAAAATTGATTCACTTGAATATTTCTAAGGTAGAAAACTTATGATAGATCCTAAGCTTAATTTAAGAAAGTACCAGTAAAATTATTTTCAAAATAAAATTCATAAATTTTGAAATTAATATTTTTTTTAAGAATCCAAAGTTTAGAAAAATTTCAATTATTTCTAAATTAAATAGAAAATCATGATTCTTTAATACTAATTATCTTGATACCTTGGATATAATTTAATTTACTAGAAATTCATCTAGGTTGGACTAAACATTTTAAGAACAAAATTTTAGGTCATTTTAAGGAAACCCACTAACACTAATCAACATATTTTTAATGTTTTAGTGTTACTTGAGGACAAATAACGTTTAAGTTTGGGAGATTTTGACATGCCTAACAAATGTACTACTTTGTATATACATTTAATGCTTATTTTTTAGTGGTATTGCATTTTAAAAAAATATATTTTTTGTGTTTTTGATTACAGGTACCATATATTATGCAATTGTAACAAATGTAGCAAAAGTGGAGCAATTTTGAGTTCAATTGAGCAAATTGGAGTCAATGGAGCATAGAAGAAAAAATTGGTCTAGCACCTAAGCGTCAGGTCGTTATCATGTGCTTCTAGAAGAAAAGCACTTTGGCGCCAGAATCTGGCACTCGGGGTCTGAATTAGTTTTTTTTTTAAATGCAATGTATTTAGATGAATTTTGAAGGGGCATCTAAAGTGACTCTTAGGGATTTCAAGTGTTATATTAAAAGAGAGATTTCTAAGTGTTGGAATCTCTTCATTTGTGTGTGTTGGTGTCTCTTGGTGTGTGTGTGTGTGTGTGTGTTTGTGTGTGTGTGTGTGTTTGGTGTAATCCTAGAGGGAGAAGAGAGAGTGAGGCTTGGTATCTCTTTGTGTGGGAAGTGTCTTTTGAAGTCTTGGTGACACTTGAGACTTTGGAGAGAAGTGTAAGTAGTTACTATTAGTTGTGCAAGAAGGGTGTGAATCTTCTGTAATGAAAAGTCTTGTACTCTTATTGTATTTGCTTTGAATTATTGTAATATAGTTGTGTGATTTCAATGTCATTGGCAATGAAGAATCCACGTGGCTTCTACTTGTTTAGCGAATAGTTTTCCTTACTCTTTCCTCTGTGATGAAGTAGTAGCATGTGTAGGAAAATTTGTTTTATGATAGAATAATTTAATTTCTATGTTATGAGTAAAATCTTTGTTGAATTACTAGCCATAGGTTATTTTAAAATCTATTGTAAGTTGAGACTAAGACTCGGAAGAGATGTCACTTCACAACTTGAGTGCACTCATATTATTCGGTTGGCTATGGTGAAGTAGTTTAGGCGGCGATGCGACTTTTAAAGGAAATATATTTCATGATTTATTTCTATTAGGAGCTTATAGGTGATAATTGGTATAAGTGAATGAGTTCCTTACCATGAGCTGTGAGGCTTCTAACCACATTTGCATCTCTGCTAGTTGTGTAAACCTAATAGAATGCTAAGCGTACATATACACTTGGAAGAGGGTGGGTAGTCTTATGTTCTTGCCATTACATAATTCTATCAATTATTCTACTACTTATGCCACTATATTCATTGTAAGAGAGAGAAGGGATTTTGATTATATAAGAACTTTGCAAAATTTAACCAGCCTCTGTAGATTAGGTTTTTATTTAATTTAGTTAACTTTAATTTTATACTAAAGTAGTGAATTTAGGAAAAACAAGCTTTTCAGAAATTTCAGGCTAAGACGAGTTGTTGTAGACTATAACTTTTATTGAAGTCACTACGAATTAACACATGTTTCTGTGGAATCGAACTCAGGGTTTTTGAAAGAAAGCTTTATATAACTTGAACGATACATATACTTGTTTAGAACACCTAGTGTGTAAACTATAAATCAATTTCTAAACTCTATAACATATCCATTTTGCACACTAGCCGCCTAAATAAAATTGGGTAAAGTTTTTGGCTAGGAAACTAAATAACTGCGTAACTGTGGGTCGGGTCACAGACCAAATTTTAAAATCTAGGCGGCTGGAGTGGTCACGCCAAACTCGAGCATGGTCATGTCGCTTTGCCCAAGGGTCAACGTGGTCATGTCGACTTTATAGCGTAATTACACTAGGCTCACTGTTTAGCGGCGTGGTCACTTGACCTTTGGGCATGACTACGCTTAAGGTAGACTTTGCACAACTACTGCGAGGTCCTTCGCAACCACGCTGTCCCATGGCGTAGATACGTCATGAGCTCTATTTTGTGGCGTGGTCAGGTCGCCTTCTAGTGTGGCCAAGCCGAAGGTAGTCGGGATCCATTAAACACATTTCACGATAAGAAAAAGTTTTTAAAGACCGGACTGCACAAGCCTTAGAATGATAGTTCGGCATGTCCTTGAACGGGGAATCGTCACAGATTAAATGTAGTTGCTATTGGGCACGACCAGGACGAGGTGACCGCTAATCCGGAGACGTGGTGCATCTAATAATGTTTTGACGAACTTCTTGAGCTATGAGAGGGCAGACGTGAGCGTCGCACTATCCCACAACATCACATGAGCAAATGATATTTGTGTCATAAAAAATCGATGCCAACTGTAGAGCAAAATCACAAATTATTAAGGGTCAGTTTGTGTTTGTGGTAGCTACAGCTTATTGAATAATCTGCTGATAAATTAGGTCTGATTACTATTATAAATTTTTTTTTTTTTTTTTTTGGAAAAAGCCAAATCTCTGCAGATAACCTACGTGCGATTACTGTTTTGGTGCGATATGAATTTTGAGCATTTTGAAAACACCATTTTGGTGCGAAATACCCAGGAAGAGATGGGAGAGAGTTGCTGAGAGGAGGTGGTTAGCGAGGTAATAAAATCGTGAACCCCCCTCCCGATCGGCTTTTTGGCACGAGAAGCTCAAGCACCCTCGGCAGATAGAGAGAGTGACGTCTCACACCAAATCTAACCTCGCGATGCTCTCAAGGGTCTCCTCTTTAATGGCCTCCCTACCTTGCTCCATGGTAATTTTTCCCCTTCTCGCTATTTGTTATATATATTATATCTAGTTAAGGTTTCTTCTTCTTCATTGGAAAAATACCTCCTTGGAATTGCAACGTACATTTCTTTTATCTTCTTCTTCATTTACTGAAACTCCATTGCTGCGATTTGAATCGGGTCGGAGAAGGAAGAGGAAGGATTCTTCGCGGGATTTCGCCTTTGCTTCCTGTGCGCATCCGTTAGAATCAGGCGGTTTGGTCTCATAACCTGGTCGCATCGTGCGCAGCTTTGCCTTTTTTTCTCTTTTCTAGGAATGAAATTGAGCAGGCTGGTGGCAGATTTGCTTACTCTTGTTTTTGTTTTTCTAAGATCGTCTTCCCTTTGCTAACTTATCGCTAACAGTTATCTTCTGTGTTTTTCATTGAAGAAGGCAGACACTTTCTGCTAGAACCTGTTGCGATCTCTTAGTTGAATTGATTTTGTGGGTTTAGGAATATTTTGAGATTCTTACAAAGCTAGTAGATTCTCATTGTACAAAATGAATTCCATGTTCCATGTACCTCCACACCAAAGGTCATTAATGAGGTATTCATTGAGCAATAATCTTGTCAAGAAAGTACTGCATCCATCCCGGATTTTCTTAATCATCTCTTAATTGAATGCCTATTATTGAACCAGCGTTAAACCTATCACTGAGCCAGTATTATGCATGTATCATATGCTGTATAAAGCTGATTGTTTTTTTGAGATATCTTATAAAGTTATAAATCTCATCCGTGGATGTGCGCGCCTTTCACCAGCTTTTCCATTCATGTTCTATCCTCTAACCTGTTTCCCCAATAAAATATAGTCTGGTATGACCTATAAGCTAAGATATTGAATCTGGAATTATATCCTTGTCAGTCGCCTTTCAGAATGAAATGAATTAAGGTACTGTGGTTAAAGTATTATTTCAACTGAAGAAGCAAAACCAAAAGAATTATGTTGAACTATATGCATTCATGCTATAGAAGTCAACATTGCATTGGTCATTGTTACTTTTAAAGATGATTTGAAAAGAAATTACGTGTAATTGTTGCTATTCCCTGAAGTTATCTTTTTTTTTTGGAGGGATTTGTGAAATTAGAGCACTTCTTTTGCAAGTAATTCAATCCAAAATTTGGAAAATTGCAATTCTGGTGCAGTAATCTGTTTGTTGATGTCTATATGGTGTTAAATTCTCCTAGAAGTAGATAAAAATCCTTAGGTTCTGGTAGTGACATGAAATCTAAATTCTGCAGCATGTATGCATGTTATTTTATGAGCTTTTCTATGATAGTTACAAATTATATTGCACTTTAGGAATTTAATGTTTAGTTGTTATGGTGGAAAGATTGATTTATATAAAAGTTTCAAGATTTCCCCGATTTCAGTATCTCATAATTTGTTCTTGTAGAGCATATTCACTAAGTTCTTAATTACTGTTGTACTTTTTTAAAATATTTTTATCATTCCTTTTATTTTTCACTCTCAGTTTACAAGACAACCTGTGACGCTGCCAAACATGAGAAAAAACTGGTTTGGAAAGCATTTACTCTATGCACCGGGCACTCTCGTATTGAGGCCTGTCAAATTATTGCGGGGTGGAACTCAGCTGCTGGGATTATCTCATTTATCCAGCATCTCTGATCTAGATTCTTCACTCCATATAGAATTAGTGAGTTTTTGTATTATGTGTAATATTTACATTTTATTGTCTTCCCTGGTGGCAAGTTTTATTAATTCTTTTTATCTTTTTTAAGTTTAGCTGTAGTTTTTAACTACCTTCACTACTAAACAAGACTATACGAATGCAACTAAAGAGTGGGTTCAATGGTTTTTAAATACTTGATTCTTAATGTACAGTAATTTTACATAAATTTGATACTTGCCTGTGCAAATTTATGCCAATATAATGTTGTAAAAGAGTGTAAAATAGTACTAATATCTTTATTTCTTTTAATTATTGATTCTATTTTTTTAAGAGTATGAGTGCAAGAATGTATTATATCTATCCTGATGGGCTCAGAATCAAGGCCCGCGACCCGCTATTGCTGGATTCTGCAAGCAGACCCGAACCCGTGAATGATGCTGGAGCTCCTGCTTTCACAAAATTCTACGGAATGGGCGGGATTTAAAGTTCCTGAGTGGGAATTGTGGATTTATGTAACCGGAATGCCGTCTCTTTAACTATTTTCAGACGAATTTTTTCCTTTCTAATTAGGTTTTTCTTTATGAGAGAACTATTTATATGTTTGTTTTTCTGTTTTGAGGGAAGGTTTTTGCTATTGCTATTGTGTTTAGGAGACACATTTTATTTTATGCTCGTCCGAGTGCTGTATTTTTTCCTTTTATAAGTGTCATGTCTGTATCTTACTTCGGAACAGGTGGTGGAACCTCCTTGCCGCCCAAACATTATTGATTCAATGTTTTCTTTGCTGTTTTCAGTTGAGACAATTGTTGTTCGACGTCGTTCCTCGTTTGAACGTTGTCAAACTCACATATTATTTTTCTTTTGCTAATTCATAATCACCTCCACTTTAAATCGGCTTCCTAACACATTTTTGGAGCCCTATAACCGTATCTAGTATCAGAGCTCGACAAATCTTAATTTTTTATGAATTTGTCTTTCATATTCCTAAACTTAGTATCCACACAACCTAACATACACGCCCACCAAAAAATTCTTCTCCACATTATCCACCTAGCTCTAATCCTAACCTAACCCTGAACTACAATTTTCTTTTCCATCTAAACTTTCATTAAAAGAACAGGACGTCATATCGCCAAGGAAAAATCTTAATGGGGGTGTTCAAGTGCTCATTATTGAAGACATTAAGAGTAAAAGCGGATTTTTTAATGATGAAAGATTAATACCTCGACGATTTGATATGAAACATCTAAGTAGAACCAGAATTTGGACTAAAAGTGGATTTATTGGATTTTGACGATCACATGAATCTAGATGAGTTTATCGACTCTAAAATGCTAATGGTATTTTTGAGTACAAGGATGTTTCCTAAGACAAGAGAGTTAACTTGGCAGTCATTAAACTAAGGAAGAATGTTTTTTATTTTGTGGTAGGAGAAGTTGAAGCATATTTGACAACAAAAGGGAAGAGTAAGATCACCAATTAGTTTAGGATGAAAAGGGTGTGATACTAGAGATAACCCAAATCACAATAGAAAAACACATATTATTACTTAAAGTAAGTAAGTGGTTACAATCAAACACACTTGAAAAGAAAAATATGACTCACACGGCAAGCAAACTCACGTTAGGGAGAATCTTAGGTGATGGTAATGATGGTTAAGTGGCACAGCGAGGTGTTAACAAGGTAGGGAAGGAGTTTTTAGGATATAGATGTGGGACGACAACAATTATGTCTGTCTGAAACAACAAAGCAGCAAGGGACGCCGGTCCAAACAACGACAGTTTGTTTTTTGGGTTGGTTGGATAGCAGGAAAACAATAAAGAGAATGTACTGTGGGATGCGACAGTGATGGTGGAGGGCTTAAACAATAAGGATGTAGGGATGAAATGATGATGACAGCGGGTATGGGGTTGCCGAAAGGTTGTAGGCTGTCAAAAATAGCAAGAGGGATGGCTGAAGGCTGATTATGGAGGACAATAAGTATTATGGAAGGGAGGTGGCTGAAAAGAGGAGTACTGCAGGAAAGAATAGTAATGACTGCTGTCCTTGGCTGCTACATCGAGGAAAGAGGCGTGATGGTGAGAAGAGAGGCGTGGCAACGAAGCGAGGGGTGTGGGAAGGAAACGCTTAGAATAGATACTCTCTCAAAAACAAGCTATAGCCGGAGCACCACTTGACCCTTGGATGAAGTTCACTACCTCGAAAGAACTACAGCCGGAGCAACAACTGTCTTTGGATACAACCCTTGATGGGAGAAATCGGGATGCCGACGATTGTTCTGAACATAAGCACGACAAAGCTCTCCTTTAAACTCTAATATAAAACATATATAGGAAATGATTACAAAGGCTTAAAAGGTAACGAGGAAATTAACTAAAAATTTGAAAGAAATTGGAAATGGGCCACTCAATTCGGTTGTCTTTCTCATGAACCGGCTTACATGCTCTGTTCGGTTCTTGGTCGAAGGACTGTAGTAGGGGTCTTGGGAGTGTTTTTCTGATCACGACAACTGTCCCAAGCGAGAAGCTCACGTGTCTTCTTGGGTTGAGGGAGCTTCGATCTTATCTGTTCAAGCTTTTGTTTCATAGTAGTCAGGTCGACCCTATTAATGGTAGCAGAAATATTGCAAACTCCTGGTAAGTCAAACATGTAAGCATTGTCATTCCAAAGCACATCTTGATAGAATACGTATTCATTCCCTTTTGATATAATCTGAGTTGTCATCGTAGATAAATGAGTGCTCGCACGAATCAGGTTCTGAGCAAGTACATCTATAAAATGCTCTTCCCTCCTCTCGTGCTCCATGGGACACATATGATAAGCAAGTATGTGGAAAGAAATCAACTCTGGGATAAATGCTGTGATAGACTGGGCCACTCTCACTAACAACCACTCAGGAGATACATCTCTTTCTTCTCTCATAGGATCCAGATCCCATTGAAGAAATTTCTTCCCAACCAAGCTCCTAAGATAATTTCCAAAATTTTGATTCATTACTCCCATTTGACCATCTATTTATGGGTACACTACTGAATTTAATATAATATCCGAAAAAAATCATATAATCTTTCGAAAGTAGCACAAAATAGCCTCATCTCTTACATGCTTGACCTCTCTCTACTGGGCCAACTCAAGGAGTCTATATATATGAAAAACCTAAAATTTTCTTATTTGGGGTTGTCATGCTTCTGATATCGGCTTCTCAAACTAATTTCCCTTTTGGGCATGCAATGTCAATCTTGCTAATGCTACTCTCAACATCTGCAAAACAGTAGCTCGAGGCACCACAATTTCATACTCTTTATGAACGCCTTTTACCTTGGACTCATTAATTTCTAGAACTATTGTCAACTTAGCTTTAGCTTCTCTCTTGGGTTTAACCGGAATTGCTGGCCCCTCTTGGTCATCGGCTAGAAGTTAAGAATCCTCTTTGAAATCTTCATCTTCTTTTGTATTGCAGTTTATTTTTTTAGTTGCTTCCTGATTCGTGAAGGAGATCATTCTCTTGGTTGTGCAATCTGATTCAGTTTACTCAAATCATGACACTTGAAATACTTTCTGTCTATGATGAATTTGGGAATGCGATTGGTTTCACTTGTTCTCCACTTTCATCTAGTGCCTGTTTAGGCGTGGTCGGCTTGGATGTTTCTCAGAGTGTACACTTGCTATAAGATTTTGGGGTTAAACTTTACCTATAAGATGTGGTGGGCCACTTTTGATGCTAGGGTTTGCACATCTTATTTGCAATGAATTGATAGATGCTGGCGTTGCATCTCCCATTTCATTTGAGAACAAATTGTGGTCTTACTTTTTCTCTCACGCAGACGTAGGTGCTTCAAAATTTGCCACCAAAATAATTCTCTTGTTTAACTTGCTGACCACACCTATTGTCTGCTTAGGTGGGCTCAGCTTCGATGTTTTCTTCTATAATCTTGTTGTAAAATCTTGGGGTTAAACTTTGCCTATAAGTTATGGTCGTCATATGATAATTTTATCTCTAATTTTGAAGCTAGGGGCTGCACATATTGTCCGTAATGAATTAGTAGGTACTGGCGCTACATATCCCTTTTTATCTAGGATCAAGTAGTGATTATCTTTTCACTCATAATGACATAGGTGCTTCAAATTTTGCCACCAAAATAATGCACTCTTCTTTAAATTGTTGACGACCAGTTTCACAATTTCTTCAGGTGGGACATCCAAGTACTCAAAGAAAAGTTTTAAGGTCTGAAGACCCTTGATGAATTCGTTCGAATTTAAGTAACTGTCAAAATATGGCCAATTCACAATTACCTTAAAACCCTGACTTCTCAGATATTTCAGGTCAATTCTTCTGGATAGAGGCTCTTCATCATTGAAATCTTTTACAAACACTTCACTTTTGTATTCTCTAATAAGCTCTTTATCTCTGTATCCTCTAGCACATACTTCATCTCAGTAATCGGATGGATTTTCGGTGACTCCACTGAATGATCTTCTTTCCTAAATTTTATCGAGCCGTTGTAGCATTCGGTTGAGTTTTCACTATTTCTCTTCCATGGTAAACTCCTGATTAGTGTTTGACACTTGTCTCAGCAGTGCCATGGTTAGGGGATGGGCATATGTGAAAGAGGGTATTTATGGATAATGTAGAGTGTACGGATGGTTTGAGTGGAAAATGTAGGGATTCTTTTTTGTTTTTTTTTTTTGCGGGGCAGAGGTATGTTTATGTGTGACGGATGCTAGAAACCCTTAGATAGGATTAAGGCCAAGCTAGATCCGATACCAAATTATATTCGAGCTAACTTAAACCTTAATAGAAAAAGTAAATATTATTACAGAAAGCAAATAGACAGTTACAATCAAATGTATTTGAAAGGGAAAATACTGCTCACTCGACACACAAAATCACGTCATGGTGGGTACCAGACGACGATGGTGACAGTTAGAGGGCTTGGAGAGGTGGAAACAAAGTAGGGAAGGGGTTTTTGGGCTATGTATGAAGTGCGACAATGAGATGGATGGCTGAAACAATAGGGTAACAA